GGGGCACCAGGGATCAAATTTGGGTCCTTGCATTTGCAAGGCAGGTGGCAGAACCACTGAGCTAAATCCCTGGCCCGTTTTTTGGGTGGGGTTTTTGTTTTTTGTTTTTGTTTTTGTTTTTTTTGAGACAGGGTCTCACTATGTAGTTGGAACTCACCTGGAACTCACTACTATGTAGCCCAGGCTGGTCTCGAACTCACAGCGATCCTCCTGCCTCAGCCTCCTGAGCGCTGGGATTACAGGTGTGCACCACCATGCCCAGCTGTACTTCACCCTTTTTACTGTTGAATAATATTCTTTTATTTGGATTTACAGTTTGTTTTCGTGGTACAGAGGATTGAACCCAGAGCCTTTGTCCTTAGCTACATCCCCATCACTTTATTATTATTTTATTGTATTATTATTATTTTGTTTTGTTTTGTTGAGACAAGGTCTTACTACGTAGTTAAGACTGACCTAGAACTCACTGTGTAGCCCAAGCTGGTCTCGAACTCACAGCAATTCTCCTGCCTCAGACTCCTCAGTGCTGGGATTACAGGTGTGCACCACCACGCCTGGCTATTTTTTATTCTTTAGACACAGTGTTGCTACGTTGTCCAGGCTAGGGTAGAGCTTGTGATCCTCCTGTCTCAGCCTACTAGTGTGCTGGGATTACAGGTGAATATTTTGTCTATCAATGGCTGAAGGACATTTCGACTGTTTCCTATTTTTGGTTATAGTAGGTATCGCTACTATGAACGTCTGTACGTAACTATTTGTGTGGACATGTTTCCAATTCTCTTTGGGAAGAATGGGAGTGGAAGTGCTGATTTGTAAGCTGAGTTTAGGTTTACTTTTTTAAAGAAATTGCCAACTTGCTGTCCACAGTGCTGTTCACTTTACATTCCCATTTAGGAGAGTCCCAGTTTCTCCACGCCTGTGCGGACGCTTGCCACGGCCTTCCTGACCCCAGCCCTTGTAGTGGAAGGCAGGACTGTTCCCAGCCCAGTAGCTGCAGGCAGGAGAGACAAGTCAGAGCAGCCGGTCATGCCCTCTGCAGCCATCCCACAGTGAAGGGCCTCAGGCAATCGTGGTGAGGTCTAATCTGGTTTTCCGCAACCTGTCATAACACTCAATTTCTCATGCTTTGGTTGGTTCTAATAATTTTCTCAATTTTATAGTGGTTTTCTGGGGACAGCAGAATTGGCTGCTCTCCTTACAAACTGCTACCCTGGCTGCTTAACGTTGAAGATGGCTTTCTCTGTGTGCCTTTCCTCAGTGGTCTGCTTGCTCTGGCCTCTATTCCACACCACCCCGCCTGCATCAGAGCATCAGCTAGGGCGCCTCTCCAAGCCTGATGTCCAGACCACACTGCAGCCCTGTGGCAGCATTTCTGGGAAAGCACTGTGCACGCCAGCCATCTGAGACTCAATACACTTACACGAATTAGAAACCACTGAAAACTCGCACTTAGTAAGTTCACATCAGTCATATATCAATAAATGGGGAGAGGGTGGGGGATGCAGCTCAGCAGCACTGTGCCTTCCTGGCAAGCACAAGGTCCTGGTTCATCCCAGTACCACAAACAAACAAACAAACAAACAGGGAGAAAGGAGATGTCTTTACAGTAGCATGCTGAGGGCCAATTGGCAAGTATGAAGTAGGTGGTGAAATTGGAAAATATTTTCTGACCATATTGACAAAAATTAGACCAGGGAGCTAGAGATGTAACTCAGCATCACAAATTTAGGGCCCAGCCTAAGCAATTTAGTGATTCTGCAAAGAACCCATCTCAAAATTAAAAAAAAAAAAAAAGGGTAAGGGTATAGCTCAGAGGAAAGGCACTGGATGGATTCAACCCCTAGTAGTAGGGGGGAAAAAACTACATGGTTTTTTTTGTAGGTTTTTTTGGTACCAGGGATCAAACTCAGGACCTTGCACTAAGGGGAATTTTTTATAAGGGACAGGGTATTTTTATACTCTTTTTTGTTGTTGTTTGGAGACAGAATCTCACTATGTACTGTAGGCTGCCTCTGAACTATGTTGCCCAGGCTAGCCTCAAACTCACTGGTCTTCCTGACTCAGTCTCCCATCCCAAGTGCTGGGACTACAGGAGTGTGCACCATGCCTGACTGCTTGTAGTTAAGAAAGCCCTTTGCAACAGCCAAGTGTCACTCAGAGGAGAATATACACTGATGGACTGAGGGGTACACAGCTGGGATGTGTACAGATGGTCCAAAAATATGACAGGCAGGTGAGTGTCCACAGTCTGGGTGATGGGAATGCAGGTACTCCTCATAAAATTTAGACATTCAGAACATTTTTTAAGTTTGAAATTAATTCCAATTTTTTAAAAGCCAGGCTTTCCTTCTTTTGAGTTTTTTGTTTTTGTTTTTGTTTTGTTTTTTTTGGTGTCAGGAATCAAACTCAGGACCTTGTGCTTGTGAGGCAGGTGCGGAGTTACTGAGCTACATCCCCATCCCTAAGCCAGGCTTTCCCAATTCAAGACGATTGTCCAAAGCCTATTTTGGAAATTGAAAGCACAGAACACACTTCTGGTTCTCGCAAAATGCCTCAGACTTTCACTGAAAGGCAACAGCCATCTGGATAAGAAGGAAGTAATCAGGCTAAACTGACCACACAATGTCATTAAATTTTCATAAATATAAACTCACTTTAAAAAAAAAGTAGGCTGGGGGGCCGGGGATTTAGCTCATCGGTTCGGTGGCCTGCTTCGCAAGCACAAGGACCCGAGTTCAATTCCCGGTACCAAAAAAAAAAAGTAGGCTGGGGATTTAACTCAGTGGTTCAACCTGCCTGGCAAGCACAATGTCTGGAATTCAATCCCTATACCAAAAGAGAATATGAATTCACTATACACTCACTAATATACATTCATTCAGCTTGCCTATAAATAAAAAGCCATAGTCTATAAAGTTACATATAAAACATCCAAAAATCAAATTAACATTTAAATAAGACAGCAAAGCTGGGAGTGTTGGCACACACCTAAAATGCCAGCCCTCAGGAGGCTGAGGCAGGAGGACTGCACAGAGTTTAAGGCCAGCCTGGGCAAATTAGTGAGATCATTTCAAAATAGAAATTAAAAAAACCAAAGGACGAAAGTACAAAGTCCTGAGTTCGATCCCCAGTACCAAAAAATAAACAAACAAAAACAAACAAAGGGGCACCGCAGATTTGGATCAGTGGTTCTGCCGCCTGCCTCACAAAGCAACGTCCTGGGTTCAATCCCTGGTACCACACACACAAAGAAAGGATTAGTCCTGTAGCTCAGTGTGAAGGCCCTGGTCTCAATGCCCTTTATCACAAAAATAAATAGAACAACAGGAATGTTTTTCTGCTGGAAGTAAATGTCACCAGTAAGTAACCCTGCCCTGGTCCCAACCTCCTGCCTGCGGCCCAGGTCCAGAGCCTGGCCGCACCGCTTGGTGCATTCTGGGGAGCACCCTCTTCCAGTGACTGCAATCTTCTCTTCCAGATGGGTGGCACCCTCTCTCACAGCTCTGTCTCAAACACAGGGCTCTAAACTGTGACTCACCCAGGTCGTACTTACCAGAGCAGGGGGTAAACTCCGATGCTGAAAGTTTTCAGATCTTTTTCTAAAATCAAAATATAAACATGTTTTTGTGTACAATAATTGCGTATCCCAGGAAATATCCATGGAATTATTATTGCTGCTGCTGTTGTTGTTGTTATTATTTTGGTACTGGAGAAGGAACTCGGGACCTTACACCTGCGAGGCAGGTGCAGCACTGCCGAGCTAAATCCCCAGCCCCTTGTGGAATGAAGTTGAAGGAGTATGCTTGGGGCCGGAGCAGCAGTGCTCTGGAGACCACCAGCCACTGATGCTGCCCCTGCTTCTGCACCCATGCTTGCCCCAACAACCCTGGAAGGAAGGCAGAATAAGGCCTGGTGAAGCCTGAACAGAGTTAGGCTAACCTAGCAACTTAGTGAGAACCTACCTTAAAATACAAAATAAAGGGCCGGGGATTTGGCTCAGTGGTGCCGCGACCTGCCTCGCAAGCGCAAGGTCCTGAGTTTAATCCCTAGTACCAAAAAAAAAAACCCCAAAAAACAAAAATCAAAATAAAATAAAGGGCCGAGTACGCATGCCTATGATCCCAGCACTTGGAGGCTTAGGCAGGAGGTTCACCAGTAGTTGAAGGCCATTCTGCACTATACAAAACCCTATTAAAAAACAAAAAACAGGGGGCTGGGATTTAGCTCAGGGGTTCGGTGGCCTGCCTTGCAAGCGCAAGGACCGGAGTTCAATCCCCGGTACCAAAAAATAAACAAAAAGAGCCAGAGGTGTACCTCAGTGCAAAGGTCCTGGGTTCAATCCCAATACGAAAATGAGAGACCGGGGAGGGGGGAGTATGTTCTCTGCAATCAGACTAGCAAAGACAGGCCCCTTGCAAAGCAGGGAGCGGTCTGGGTAGATCAGAAGACGGGGCAGCGTGTGCTGTGCAGCGCGGGTAGAACCAGTCAACTCCAAGCCAGGGTAGGAGGTGGGGCACTGAGGAAAGCACACACATCTTTTTTAAGCAGGGTGGGTACCGGGGATCGAAATCCAGACCTTATGCTTGAGAGGCAGGCCGCAAAACCACTGAGCTAAATCCTCAACTATACACATCTTTTTGTAACTCTTATTTCTTATGTGTTGTTCTGTCTGGATGACCATTTTTATCAAGTATCTGTATAGATACAGATGCAGAATTGTTGCCTGGAGTGGTGGGGCATGCCTGTAATCCCAGCACTGGGGAGGCTGAGGCAGGAGGATCGCTGTGAGTTGGAGCCCTGCCTGGACTACATAGTGTCTTCCAGGTCAATCTCAATTACATAGTGAGACCCTGTATCCAAAAAAAAAAAAAAAAAAAAAAAAAAAAAAAAAAAAAAAAA